TGAATTTGTTTGAATAGTGGATCATCACGCTAACGAACAGCTAGGTTATGGTGGAGTCCTACCTCTTGCTCATGATCTTCAAAATTGACTGCGATAATTCTGCCCATCATGAGTTAATCAGATAAGGAAACATAACGGGGACGGGGGCATTTAGAGAGGGAATGCCACCATAACCCCTCCATGTAGAATATCCAACGGTACAACGACAGAAGTTGTAGAGTCAACCAATCGCATTGCCATTACATTTATTATCTTGCATACACGGTTCATACGATATCTCGTCAATTCATTGTTTATACCATTGTGTAATCAAAAAAGAATCGCTACCAGTGTTTGAGAACAACATGTTCGAAGCAACAAGATACAGTTGAATATGTGATAACAATGAAATATTAACGAATTAAATCAACCAGGAATTAATGTTGGAAAGAAAATTCGAAATCGTCAGGGGATATAACTTACGAGGCGCCTCTTTCTTAATATCTGTCTCGAATGGGACTGAATCTTCTCCTATCACGATCAAAATCGTCACCGTTGCGTCTCATTGCTCCAAACGATCCATACCTAAAAATACTCAATACAAATAGTATTGTATTGGGATGCATAAGGTTCGCGGCAGTTCGCTGCTGAAACTAGACATCACCTTCTCACAGATGCAGGTCCAACTCCAGGCATTGTGATCGCAACATCAATGAAGTCTCCAATTTCAAATTTACACATTGCCAACTAAAATTAACATATTTATCAAACAAGTTGTTCAAAAATATTGAAGTCAGTATTAGTAGATTCCGACACGCATATAAAACACCGTCAATTAGTTTGTGTGTTGGCAGGTTGGAAATAAATAGTGTTGCCTGGGCGTTTCAGCGGATGAGCGTCAAGGCACCTACAACCAGTTGTGCATATTTTGCACTTACTCTAATCTTCTTTCTACCTTTGTACGCCTGGGTATCTGATTGATACCAGGGTCAAGCGTGCGTTGAGGAATCCTCGACACGTCGCAGGGGGGGGGGTCGTATTGGCCCGCTGGGTGGAAGAGATCGAGCCATTTTGATGCAGTGGGATCATCACCGTCGGAAGACAAATATCAAGGATGAGTCGATGCCAGGCCAGAGGATTTCCAATGAAAATGATATTTCACCCACACAAAATTTTCGTGATTCTGAGGCGTCCGGTAATTCTTAGTTACTTCAGTGTTTTATCACCACACAAGTTAAAGAATCTGAATTTCGCACGCTTTCCAAGAGATATTCATCTTTCAAGTAAGACCCCGAATCTGAAGGGATGTGAGGTACACGGCGCATCCGAGAAAGGGTCTAGTTGTTGCGCGCGCTTCAACTACGGCTCCTTGGACAAACAACCTCAATTCAGGAACAATCGAGAGAATTCTGAAAGTGTCCGTGCGCATTTACAGGGAGGTGTACACCATTCAACATTGCGTTAACGGACTCTTCAGGGTTAAATTTATAAACATGTAACCTTTAAAGTTGAGAAACGCTAATCAATCACTTTTCTTAGAAAGAGAAAAGCAGTGATTCCAAATCTGCTCTTACTTTAGTACATAATCGCCCTTAAAAGGATATACAGCCGTTGAAATAGTGCCAATGTAGCGAAAAAGTACCTTTCGGCGGTACTCGTGCAAAATCCTCAACGTAGCCGTTTTTTTAATACTGGACGTTTGGAGCAGTTCTAGTAAGCATTTGATAGAGCAAATCTTCTAGTTTATGATGGCGTATTTACTTTTCGGATTGGATGAGTTTGAACGGAGTTATGGCTTTAGGAAGTAAAAAAACTCGCACTCATCACAAATTTTCCTCGTTAATTTTGCGAAAATCCTCAACGTGGGCATTTTTCGAATACTGGACGTATAGAGCTGCTTTAGCAATGGTTTGGTAGAGAAAATCTTCTAGTTTGTCTGCCATATTAACTTTTCGAATTTGACGAAAATGAAGCAAGTTGTTGCTTCGGAAAGTGTAAAAACTCGTGCTCGTCTCGAATTTTCCTCGTTATTTGATCTAAATTTGTTATTTCTTATAACTTTTGTAATTTCAAGTACTGATTAGAAAAGCTCTTCACAAAACTCCCAAATCAGCTTTCAGATTGAAAATTCGTTAACTTTGAAGAAAGTTATAATCATTTGAATATTTGTTCAAATTTCAAATAGTAAATAAGCTGCTCCACGGTCAACGCCAAAGTCCAGTCAACACACAGCTGGCGAAGGCGGTTAAAAAGCTTCTTTCAACTGAAGGGCTACGTGCAAATTGAGAACCACAATCTGTGTAGTACTAGAATTTGGTAAGTCTTGTGGAGGAAATAAATAAAGAACAGATGTTGTCATGGTATGCCATTTTTAGTGCTAGTTTGTCGTTTTCTGGTCTGTTTCTCGTTTGCTCGTTTGGTAGGACTCATCAATAATGATTATTCTTTGACTTTTTCACTTTTGTACTTCTTAAACGAATTTTTTTGTGGACGGTGGGGTAGCAGGGCTTTTTTATGAGCAGTTTTGGGGGAGAATTAAACAAGCTTTTCAACCTTTTCATAGTTCGGCTTTTGAAGAGGGTTGTTTCATGGACTTCGGCCTCCGGCGGAGGGTGGTGGGGGGGGGGGGGGGGGGGGTCGTATTTCCAAATTTTCCTCAACGCCTCGCTTGACCCTGGTCATTACTGAAGCCATTATGACAGAGGCTAAAAACGGGATAAACAGAAAGCTTGGTGTGAAAGGAGTTTTGTAGTAGTAACTGGGGAATGAATCGAAAAAATCTTCATTCGATACCATTGCAGTTCCCACTGCTAGCGTGCTGTTCTGAGAATAGTGATAAAACTGCTGAAAAGCGTATTTCAAGAGCAGGAACTTCCGATAAAAGCTTCCATTTTGCTTTTGCCATGCTTAATGCAGCTCACACTCTACATTTCGAATCGGAAAACCGGTGAAACATCCAGATTCCAAGAAGTGCCCACAGCCGACTGTTCAGGCCATTCATGAACTGTACAGAGATGACAAGTGTTTTGTTTCCATTGAGCAATGAGGGCCTTATGAACAACACAGTCGTAACGGGCCGAATGAATAGAATGGGACGCCGCGCGGTAATATCAAATTCATGACGTAGAATCGACATTAGACTTACCGATTTACCATCGTCAACGCCTCTCTGACCGTTCATAGTATTTCCAATATCGCGGATGGTGTAGCGGTTGTTCATTCGATCGGGTGCGACTGTGCGACTGAAAATTTGATTGCCATAAGTCGGAAACAACAGAATTATCGGAACTGCAATCCAATGATTCGCTAGATATTCCAATGAACCAAAAGAAAAAACCACACCTATGGAAAAGTCAAAAGTTGTTCCACGACGTCGAGCATCTGGATTAACCTCTTTGATAAGCGACGTCAACTCTCGAAGTGTGCAATCCATCCTTGAATGTGAAGTATTAACAACAAATAATAAGGGAGTGCTTTGTACGAATTGACTATCTTACCAGGTGTACATTTGAAGCTCGTTTGCGGGCACTCCACCTCTCATATAGTCGGATATTGGATTGTGCCTCCCATTAGCACAAAAAACTCTCAGGAGCAATGGACATGTCTGAATGTACGTAATCACTGCTGCGGATCTATTACTAATAAACAGAGCAAGACTGCAAGAAAAATAAAAATTAACTAAGTAGTACCTTCTCTCTGTCAACTGGCTTCTCTTGGTTAACAGCAACCTGGGAAACAACTGTAGCCATACTGAAAAAAAAAAAAACAAACTAAACTTGGAGCTAAAAATGACGGGTCTAGAAAATGGAATTCGAATGGTGTAGAACCAAATGAAGACTAAGCAACCCATTAGGCTGGTGTCAGAGTCCGCGATCCGTCGCAGGTTTCGCTGATTTTCGCGATTCACGCGACGGGTCACGGAAATCACAAGTGCCCGATCAATACTGCAAGGTGTTCTCCAATCCTGCCGCCACTTCTGCTTGATAGTGATGGCTGAATGACGACTGCTCATGATTCCACTTGTTTCATATTCAGTGTTTCAAATGTTCACACACTTGCAATTTTTGCGATCCGTCGCAGGAATCGCGCAAATCGCGAAAATCAGCGAAACCTGCGACGGATCGCGGACCCTGACAGCAGCCTACATAGTATCGATACGCAAAACTAAACGTAAGTTTAAACGGAGAGCCGCGAGAAATGTGGCAATCATCCCACATCAGCTTAGACGCTCAAAAACCTTATACATGGAGATACATCGTCGCCATTACATATTGTTGACATGATATTCAAACAGCGCTGTTAATGCAAAAGGCTTGAAGCATGATACTCCAACTTTTTGCACCACCAAATTCGGCTCCCAGACAATACCTAACCATTTGGGCGCGGCCGCGGCGAACGCGGCCGAGTTGATAGGTGCCCGCGAACTCAGCACAGCACAGTTCGCGGGCACCTCGAGTGCGTTTTCAACGGTTCGCGGGCACAATCGACTCGGCCGCGTTCGCCGCGGCCGCGCCCAAATGGTTAGGTATTGTCTGGGAGCCCCAAATTACCATGTTATGCCTTCTCCTCCCAATGCTCCTTTGTTACAAGTCCAAGTATAATGTGTAGTCCGCCACAAGGCCAACATGTAATGAATTAAATGAGCCATATGGAATCCATGTATTATCAAGACAGAATTACCTACGTCTTGGAAAAAGCATCTCTGCCCAGCAGCAAGAAAGTGGAAACAATTTCACTAAGAAATTCCAGTGGTTTTGCTTCTAACACCTTAGCGATTCTCATATGCATTTGACCACGTGAGTGGGATCAGCACGCAAACTTTTGATGTTCCTTTATCGCCCCAAATATGTAGTTAGTTTGCGCACCCCGGATACCTCCTTTTACTGACGTTAGGCCTTGAGAAAAAGATGAACTCCGGCGTGGGTTAGTAATAGTTCCCTAAAGATCCTGCTACCCATAAATCGGCAAGCCGCCCGACACAAAATCACCCTATCACTGCCTTATTTCACAAACAAAGGCTATAGAAATACTGTGACACTGTCGCCTAAGCCTACAACGAAAATTTATCGAAGTTGTTAAAAATCCTAGGGCGACTTGATACTGGAGTACTGAGAAAAGGAGCAAAAGGGAAAGACCTTACAAAAATGCTGTTAGATATCAGAAAGGAGAAAGGAAAAATGTCCAAGTGACCCTAAAATAATGCAAAACACGTACTGGCATTTGCGAATGGAAGGCGTTCGCGGAAACAAGCGCGCGAGTCCAATTTTTTGTTGCTTGCGAGCGCTCGTGCTGCGGTCATTCATGTTGGAGCACAGTATTTACCAGCGGCTGTTGTGAAGTACAAGTAGGAAATACAGCGCGTTTCAAAAGTATTGGGTTGAGACATACATAACGTCGCACTTGGATGTTTAATTTTTTGGACACAAACGTTTGAAGCAAAAATAAAAACAAAACTAATCAGTGATGTTCACTCCGTCATTATTTAAGGCTTCAATTCCACTTCGCAGGAAATCACTGGATTTGGAATGAAAAGAAGTATTGCTGGCTCCGCCCTGATTCTTGAAGTTCTTTTTTGCCCATAAACATCTGACGATAAATTAGTTACAACTTGAGCGGAAAGAGGAAAAGAGAAAACGAGAATAGCGTCGGGTGAAGACCATATACCACAAGTGACGACGTCTTCTACAAAGTGTAAAAGTTGTAAAAGTTAGGTTGGTTTTAAAATGTCGTTATCAACGATTATTTTGAGTATGAAAGCTGGGCGCAATGTGGCTCGGGGGGGGGGGCACCTCGCAACATCGCGTCAAAATCACGGAAACGCTCCGTTTTAGGACTAAGCTTTTGAAGAGGAGAGGAACTCCGGTGTACGGAAGCAATTTTCGTATTCTCCGGAGTTCGTCCCTGCTGTTTAGGCTTAGTCCTAGATGACTTTTCTCAGAGTGCCCCCCCCCCGAGCCACATTGCGCCAAAAGTTGTATCAAAGCACATCAACCTGAATTTTTCTTCATCACGGTTATTGAATTTATTTACTGCCTAAGGAACGCGGCATTAACCTGGCTCGATGGTGGTTGAACGGCGCCAAATCTGTACGACGGTAGAACGTTTTAGCCTCAACTCCGCGATTTTTCTGTCTCGTAATTTTCGCGGCATGTGGTACTGCGTTATGTGCCATAGTTCTACTATAATGGCCTGATTTCTCACTTGACGACGCAGCGCTTGGCCAACGCGGGCTGGCTGTCGTGCGCAGGGTTCAGCTATGACTGTCTAACCAACAGCACTCCACAGTAGGCCAATCCTATACAGTTCCACTAAGGACGAGCAGGACTTTTCTCCGTGAGAGCCCAGTTTCGGAATGATCCTAAGCTGTATTATCTGCTTCCAACCACGGCCATCTTCTCACTTTGTTATCGGGGAACATCCTTTTGTAAAGTGCGCTTACAACGAAGTCAAGAACCTTCTTCCTCTTGGAGTTATGGAAGAGTTCCAGTATTGGCAACCAGTACTGCTTGCTCGTGTCGCTCAGAATAGGCCGAACCCATTTTCTATCCTGAAAGGCCTTAACAGTCGCACGTAGGAACTTTTAAATTTTTCTGTTGACACAAGCCAAATCTCCCTGCAAGTTTCTGCGTAGTTTGTCGAGGCTCAATTGGTTGGCTTTCTTTAATTCTTCATAGGTACAGGTCAATATCCTGCTCTCCGTCCTCAAGTCCTTCATCTCAGTCTTGGAAGAGCTGAAACCATAGCTGGAAGTGCATCAGATACTAACGATGAGTGTTGCTTCTAAATATTTTACACCCAATGAACGAGATTCGTTTGGGCGTTTCTCCTTTCATTTCATTTCGTTTCTGAACATATACGTTCAGACGATGTCTTCTGACCAATCATCTTCGAGCAAACGTTTTGGCCCGAAGAACATCAACTCTCTGGCGCCTAAGGTTTTGCAATATGCGTGCTGAACGCTCTCTCGAATGAATGGTTTGCCTTACTACGAGGTTGTGTTTTAGCTGAGAAACAAAGACAGAAAGGGAAGTGTAGCTGTAGAAGTGCAGTAGTCGAGTAAGCAGCAGTCATTGTTGAGACGAGGAATAGACTAAATAACCTAGCCAAAGTCGGACTTTTATATGGCACGATACGGGCGGTATGGATCGGTGATCGGTAAGTGACCCAAGATCTGACGATCACCTACAGAGTCCCTGATAGATTAGCCAGATCAAAATGCAAATTCACCGATCCAACACCTCCCCCCTAAGATAGACACAAGAGGTGTATGTCTTCTTCTTCGGATTGATTTGCAGTCGAACCGGAGGACGTCTTGTCCGCGTTTGTCGAGTCGTTGAGGGTGGCTCGTCGTCACATTGTCCCGGCGGTTGCTCCTCGGTCGATTCACCATTGTGGTCCACTACAGGTGTCTCAGCGGCTAGACATGGGAGCAGTGGCAAATCGAATTGATCCGTGAGCGTTGTGCTATCGGTTGGGCACTGGCATGGGCGCAGCTGATTCGCTTGGCGTCTCCAGAGTTGGCCATCAACCTGAACATCATAGAGACATTGTCCATGACGAAATCTTACCCTTCCTTGGCTCCATCTTGGGTGTCCAGCGCGGTAATCACGGGTCCACACCAGATCATTCGGCTCGAATATCCTTGGGCGAGCTCCGTGATGGTGATTGAATTGAGCTTCCATCTTCCGACTCCTTGCGACGGCTTCAGCAGTGTGAGCGTAGATCGCAGACGTCTCCCAAGGAATACTTCTGCTGGTGACTCTCCGGTCAGCGTAGGGCATGGCGTCCGACGGTAGGTGAGCAGGGATTCATAGGGCTGTTCGTTTCATAGTTGTCCACAACATCCACAAAACGTTCTGCCTGGCCGTTCGATTGAGGGTGGAATGGCGGCCAGAAGCGGTGCTTGATTCCATTCAGAGTACAAGAAATCGTTGAATTCCTTCGACGCAAATTGTGTCCCGTTGTCCGTTACGAGCGTTTCCGGGTAGCCAAACTGAGAGAATATTCGGCTAAATTCCTTGATTGTTGCAGTGGACGTTGTGGATGACATCTCCATAATTTCTGGCCACTTAGAGTAGGCGTCCACTATCACTAAATACATTCGTCCATCGATTGGGCCGGCAAAGTCGGTCATGAATTCGGAACCGTTGCTTGTCTTCGGCTAACCACGACCAGAGCGAAGTTTTGAGTGGGTTTTTCGAGTTTTCCTGGCAACGGACACAGGATTTCCAACTTGTTCTCGATATCCTTGTCGATGTGAGTCCAGTAGCAGTAATCCCTGGCTAGCATCTTCATCCTTGAACATTCCGGGATGACCATCATGAAGGTCTGCGAGAACAGCGGCTTGTAGACATTTCGGAATGACGATGCGGTCTCCAAATATCAGGCATCCTCGGTGCGTTGTGAGATTGTTGCGCATCGAAGTTGAAGCGGAGTAGGCAATCCTCCGGTTTCCTTGGCCATTTTCCCGGCTTGGACACATCGAAGAACTTCCTTTAGTTGCAGATTCTTGAGCGTTTCTTCGGCAACAATGTCTGCTGTGATTGGCGCTTTGGTAGACGCATCAAGTTCATTGCATCGGCATTGATCTCTGCTATGACGGCATCTTCCTGTGGAGTCGGCTGGTCGGCAATAAGCGCGAAAGTGCATCAGCCTGACCGAAATTACTGGTGGTCCGGTACTCAATCGTGAAGTTGTCATTCATCATGATCAGAGACCACCGCTGCAGTCGATTCACCGTGTAGACTGG